CTGGGAGAGGCGGGCGGGCAGAGCCTCCACCATGAGTAATTAATTTTGGTAAACGCTGGTAAGTCAGGGGCCCAGGGAGGCTTTGGGATCTCCGTCCTGGGCAGAGTTCCAGTATCATTTTCCCTTTGATTCTGGTGGTTCTGGGATGAGCAGGAGGTAAGGACGGACCGAGGAAGGGGAACACGCGTGCTCCAGAGATGCTGGCTGTGAACCAGGTGTCCTGAAAAAACTACCTCATCTGGTAACCACCCCCCCAACAGCCTCTGTATTTGGAGAAGCACTGAAAGGTTAGAGAAATACAAACTGAGGAGCTGGGTCATTGCCCTGCCAGGGCAGAATCTTTATTTTTTTCTCAAAGAGGTGTCAGAAGGTATTTTTCTGTGCCAGAGTGTCCAAGTGAAGATTTCTGATGGGAAGCATAGGCAAAGATTTTAGGTTTCAGTATGAAGTTAATCTTGCATTTGCTTTTAATATTAGTAAGTAAATATAGCTGACTCAATTAAGATGTTCTCAGTATCATGTTTACAGACAATAACATCTTTTGTATGCCTGGTGACCTCATCTGGAACACAGTTTGCACTTCTGGACAGATGTTTAAAAACAGGAAGGAAATCAAAACAGATTAATGAAAGTGGCTGGGAATAGAAAGGTTTCTTTAAAAGGAAATAATAAAGAAGATAAATGAGCAGATAAATGAATTGCAGTGATAAAGGAAAGGCAATAAACATGCTTACAGTTGCAAGCATTGTCAGGGTACACATTGTCCACGAGAACAAAAGAAATAATTTAACATTATACATCATTGTTAACTGTTACTATGAGGAGGAGGTGGTTGTCTACATTATCACACACAGCCTGTTGATTTATCTGTCAGTGGGCACAATTCTCTGGGTTTCTGGTGACAGGGATGAGGGCTTGAAAGGAGCACGTACAGGTGTCTCTGACTGCAGTGCAGGTCAGTCATTGCCGCGTAAGTACAGTTTTCTCGGGGGGGGGGGAATACCTTCAACAGTTTACCTGGTTATCAAAATCGGTTGTTACAAATGAAAAATGTGTTGTTACTGTTAATTAGTGTATTGAGAGAGTGGTATGTCATGAAGTAAGTATAAATCTGTTGGTTTGTGCAGATTTGCAAATGTCCTGGGGAACTGGCTGCAGGGCCTCCAGGGCTGCGGTGGCTGGGGCTGGAAACGTGTCTGAGCCACCGGTGCAGTCCCCTGTCCACCCAGGTCAGAGGGGCAGGAGCAAAGCATGGGCTGAACATCGTGTCCAGAGGGACTAGACATGGTCCTGGGGTGGGTTGCACTGGGTTGCAGGGCGCAGCACAAGAGCAAGACCTTTTGTGTTTCTGAAATACTCACTGCTTACAGGGGTGAGGACTCAGGCTGTTCACTAAGGGTGGTTTTCACTGTCATATTTGCTGGCCCATGTGCCATCTAGTAGCATCTGCAAAGCAAGAAAGTGTTGTGTGTTATGTCAGGGTCACTGGGTTTGCGTTTCTCCAGCAGAAGTCCAAAGCTTTCAAGTACAATGCATCAGACAGACAAAAACAAGCTAATTTTAACAGCTGTTTGCTCCAAGCCATTGCCTGCATCAAGGAAGCATTGTGAAAAACAGCATTCTCATACAGAGTGTAAACTGTAAAGCAGTGTAAATTCTTGCCCTGGCTCCTAGGAGGTTATATTTGTTCAGCACCACTCAAGCTGACGTTGGGATGTTCT